CTGATTTGAACTCATGAAGATGAGCCATCCTGAAGATGAGTCTTCTTGGCACTCTATGCATTGTGCCACCTAGCTGCCCTCTTCTGGGAGAAATAGAAAAAACATAGCAGTTCTTACCCTTAAGGACCTTAAATTCCTTGAGCTAAATAGATTCCTATCTACCTATAGAATTCTTATACATTGAATTGAATTATGGATTGAATATTCTTATAGATTGAATATAGACAGACAGAGGCTCATAGGTCATCATAAACAGCAACCAAGACAGAGGCAAAATAATGACATACAAAGACAACAACATTAGGACAAAGACCCGGCACCTTTTTGCTTGTACCCTACCCAGGGTCTACCATATTGGCAAAGACTCAATAAATATGTTTGTTTGTTTGTTTTTTAATTCAATTGAATGGAAAGACTGACTTTCACAGGAGTAGCAATTATATATCGTAGCTTTTATAGGATATTATTGCTAATGAATTTTTGTTTTCGACACTTTAGTCATAGAGATGTCACCTCCTGGCCACATGCCTGAGCCTGGGGGTAGTTAAGCTGGGAAGGCCATTTCCCCATTCTATATTAAAGTAAGCCACTGAGCTATGCTCCAACGTAGTGACTCTCTCTCATCTGTGCTCACTTAGCCTGGATTGGTGTCCAAGCCTCTTGATTCTTATTCCAGCCCTCTCTCCCCACTGAAAAACAGCATTTGAAGGCTTGTAGGGGCTGAGTCCTTATAGTTACTCAGGTTCAAGCCTTGATTCCTCACTAACATTTCACTACTCAATCCAGGGGTGGGGAACCTGTGGGTTCGAGGCCACATGTGGCCTTCTAGGTCCTCGGGTGCAGCCTTTTGACTGAGTCCAAGTTTCACAGAACAAATCCTTTTATTAGATATTTGTTCTGTGAAGCTTGGATTCAGTCAAAGAGCCATACTTAAGGACCTAGAGGGCCACATGTGGCCTTGAGCCCGCAGGTTCCTCACCCCTGACCCAATCTGTTGCCAAGTCTTGTTGCTTTTTTCTTAGCTTCTCTCACATCCATTCCTCCTTTCCATTCACTCACCATTGCCCTAGCCATCATCACCTCTCACCGGTTTGGTCTGTTTGCTTCAAGCCTCTCTCCATTTCCATCCATCCTCCAAAGAGCTGCCAAAAGCTTCTCCTCTGATCATGTTATTCCCTTGCTCTATAAGCCTCAGTGATTCCCTAAGATCAAAAACAAACTCCTCTATTTGACATTTAAATATGTTTACAGCTTGACCCCTTCTAACTTCCTCCTTCTTCTTCTGCCATACTCTTCTTCTTGGACTTGGTCCAGGCATGGTGGCTTACTCACCATTCCAAGAACACGACTCTCGATTTCCTGTTAACTGTGCCTTTGCGCTAGCTGTCCCTGGGGCCTGAAATACACTGTCCGATCTTTTCTGCCTCTTACAACCCCTGGTTTCCTTTAAGACTCATCTCGAGCATCACCTTCTGTAGGAAACCTTTCCTCATCCTCCCAACTGCTAGTGTACTTTCCCCAAAATAGCTTGTATTCATTTTGTATCATGTTGTTGTTGTTCAGTCATTTCAGTCATATCTGACTCTTTCTTGACCCCATTTGGGGTTTTCTTGGCAAAGATACTGGAGTGGTTTGCCATTTCCTTCTCCAGCTCATTTTACAGATGAAGAAACTGAGGCAAACAAGGTTAAGCCACTTGCCCAGAGTCACATAACTGGTAAGTGTCTGAAGCTGGAATGGAATTCAGGTCTTCTTGACTTCAGGCCTTGTACTCTATCCACTGTGCTGACTAGCTGCCCCACAGCTCTGTGTGTGTGTGTAAATATATATATATATATAAATTGCATGTACCCCTACCCACCCATACACACTCATATAAAGTGCTTAATAAAGATGTGTATTGATTGATCCCAGGTGGCCTTCCTGAATCTCCCCCTAAATGTCTTCCTTTCTCAAAGGTACCAAAGAAAAGATGATCTGGAGGCCACTGAATGAATCAGTCGCAGTGAGAGTATGTCTGCTCACATTAGGATTCTTATTTTAGCCTTCCTACACAGAGATGAAGATAGTCCAAATGATAAGTAGGGTAGCAGCTTTTTCTTTTTAGTTGAGGAGATCAGGTGAACTAAATCACAGAATTATTAAATCTTAGGCCTGAAAGGAACCTTGGTGATTGAGTCCATCCCCCCTTTTACAGAGAAGGAAATTGAGCCAAAGAGAGAAGAAGGATCATTGGATCAAACATTTTGAGATGGAAGAGACCTCAGAAGTCATCTAGTCAAAAATTGTTCATTTTAAAGATGAGTAAGACAAAGAGTGGTCTGCCCAAGGTCACCCAGAGGAGATTTGAAGCCACGTCCTCTGATATGCTCAAGGTGACCCAGCCAGGGCCAGTTCCTGATACACCATCTACGATCAACCAAGTTTTGGTTTTGTTTTCATTATTTCTCCCATTAAATGGGATGCTTCATGGGTATCACTTCCCTGATAACTACAAAATACATTCTGAGATTTCAGAGGAAGGATCTCTACCCAATGGACTAATGATCTATGGTGCTTTAGGGCAGGGCAGTTTGTTTGGACAATGTCTGGACTCTTTGATGTTCACTCACCTGGGTTGGATTTGAACTAAGTTCCCATTGACTTAATCCATGCTACACTTAAAACAGGGTAGATTGAAGGAACTAGGACTGTTTAATCTGGAGAAGAGAAGGCTCAGTGGGAAATGTGATTGCTCAGTATTTTCAGGTCTGTCAAGTGGAGGAGCGATTGAATTTGTTCTGTTTGATCTCAGGGGACAGGACCAGGAGTAATAGGTGGAAGTAGTAAAGAAGCAAATTTAGGTCTGATGTCAGGGAAGACTTCCTGAGAGAGCTATCCAAAAGTAGAAAAGGCTGCCAGAATGGGCAGCCTTGGGAGTCCTTGTCATTGACAGTTTTCAAGGGCTGGATGACATTTTGGGGGATTTTTGTAGGAGAATTTCTTTTTTAGGCCTGAGTCAGACTAATTGGTCACTGAGGACTATTCCAACTCTAAAATTCTGTGATTCTGTCAATTCTGGGTCCTTTCAATTGCTTACTTAGCCAATGGTGACATCAAAAACCTATTTCCCAACTTTGCATCCCAGTGGACTTTGTGTGAGGAGTACCATCTTTCATACGCACAAGACAATCCATAAATAACTGGGTAAATTAGAATGAAAGTTGGGGGTCTAGCTTATTATTTTAAGGGGTTAGATTTCTTGATTTTTGATTGCTTTCCAGGTAAATTCATTTTCTCCACCAACTTCATTTTTTTGCCTTTAGTAAATGTAACATTTTACCATGCTTCACCTTCTTCTGATATTCCCTGGAGCTCAGTAGTCATAGCAGACCTTGGCTTTAAGTTCCAAGTTTCTGCATCTTCAGATGCCAAGGTCAGAAGCTAATCCCAGCCTGACAGGACTCTCAGCATTCCAGGTTGGGTGCTGTTTTCAGAATCAGAGGATTTGGGTTCAAATGATGACTTTGCTTCTTCATACCTGTGTGGATGACCTAGGATGAGTCCCTTCACCCTCTGGACCTCAGCTCCCTTTTCTGTAAAAGATGGGTATTGGATTAGATGATCCTTATGCTCCCTTGCAACATTAAATCTATAATCCTTTGAACTTCTCTCTTTTTTTCTGACAGTACAATCTTGGCCTAATTCCTCCAGGTAGCTCCATGATGCTCCCTGTCAGCACTGACTTTTCTTCCCTTGGACATCACATAACTTTTGTACCTCTCTTAGGAACTTATCACTTATTATTTTACATTATAGTTATTTGCATATGTGTCATATTTCACCTACTTGGGTGTCATTATTCCATCTATATTATGCACCTGTCCCCAGTACTTAGCTCAGTACTCAGGATACAGACCTTAATGTTTGCTGAATTGAAATGAAAGAATGAATGCTGTAGGAATTAACCTGTAGGGGTTCTTAACCTGAGATTATTATGTTTGCTTTTTAAAATATTTTAATAACTATATTTTCCTATTTCCTTTGCAATCCTATGTATTTTATCTTATGTATTTAAAAAACATGACTCTGAGAAGTCCATGGGCTTCCCAACATTGTCAATGGAAATCATGGCACAAAAAGGGCTAAGATTCATGGCCTAAACCTTTGGTCATAGGCTAGAGGGCAAACTCTTCTGGGACTGGGAGAGTGGGGGAGGGCAGGATGGGAGAGTGAGGAAGATGGTGTGGAAGCACATATTGTAGTGGATGGAATCTAGGAGCTGTAATTTGGAAGAGCTGAGTTCAAATCCCATCTCTGACACTCACATGGAGCAAGTCACTTAAACTCTTTGACCTTCAGTCTCTTAATCGATAAAATGGGGATAATAGCACCTGCTGCCCCCACCTCAAAAACGTTTCTGTATCTTATTCTGAGAAGGGGTCCGTAGGCTTCACCACACTACCAAATGGGTCTATGACACACAAAAATGTTTAAGAACCCCTGCTCTAAACACATATATTAAGATAAGGTAACATTGTAAAGTACTTATGTGAAGAAATGAAAAATGATTTAAATAGCTGGAGGGATTAATATAGTGCTTATGGATGTGAAATACAAATACAACAACAATTAAGATAATACCAAAAATAAAGATACTACCCAAGTTTAGAAGAAGTCTTGCTGTAGGCATAGAATGAAATCATGTGTAAAAAGCACTCTGCAAACTCTACATAAATATTGGTTATTAGTAAGACCATTTGCAAAACCAGCAGGAGACCATTCCTCTATCATCAAGGGATTTACAGTTGGGCCAGTTTACAAAAGGACACTATTTAAAGGTAAGAAGCCACAAAAACAAGTAAGTCTCCTGTGGGTGCCAATACTGTAATTTCCAACACTCAAGTATTTTTAAAACAGATCAAGTTATGTGAGGCCACAGTGCCCCCTTTAGCTCCATTTCCTGTTTGTCTGTGTGAAAAAGGGGGAAGGAGCAGTCAAAGGGAGCAGGAGGGGAGAAGGAGCTTTGGAAGCCCTTGAATATTCTGACTCCTCCCCATAATCTTGCTGTTTCCTTTTACTGAAAATTTGAAGGCAGTTGAGTGCTTAGAGAAATCTTTGTCTTACCTTGTGCCCACAGCAAGCTTGGCATCCTTCCTCTGGTCTCCACCCTCCCATCCCCCAATCCCCACCCAGCTGAATTAGAATACTGTACATTGTGTAGCTTGAACTCTTGAATACAAATGTAGAAGAAACAGAAAGACGAGGTAGCGGTCCTCGAGGTCCTACTGGAGAATTGCCACTTCTCTCTTCGACAGAGTTTTTGTAACCCAAGTTGGAGATATCTTCCAAAGATGAATTTCCAAAGTCACTTTTTAGTCATCTACCTGCTTCTTTTGTTCTTTTACCCAAGAGGTAAGTGAACTGTTTGGGTCTCTGATGGTTCCTCCTTCTTCCTTCTATATTCTGAGAAGCTACTTTTAAAACATCAAACTTCTGAGTGTAGAAATCTAAGAGGGCTTGAAACAGTTCCTTTTCCTTGAGGGAATGTCCCCTGGTACATTCTCTTGTCTTCTTCTCTTTCCTTTAAGAGCACTGGATTAGGATTCAGGAGACCCACAGTCTAGACCCAGCTCAATCGTTTGTTCTTTGGTTTTGGGACCTTGGGGGAAGGGGGGGACTCAGTTTCTTCAAAGGTTCACCAATTTTTGATGATTCCACACTGTCCCTGCTTTCTTTAACAGGTGTCATGGTAGAAAAGAATGTTGTTTGGGGCATACTGACTCAGTCCATCTCCTTGGACATCCCTGATTTTCTGAAGGACCAAGATAAAGATGATATACGGTGGTTTAAAGGACCTACCCTGATCGCAAAAGTAAACCGAAATGGAGCTAATCATAATTTTTACCGGAGAGACACAAACTATGAGATATTCACAAATGGAACCCTGAAAATTAAAGAACTGGAGAAAAACTCTGAGCAAAACTACAAGGTGTCAGTGTATCATAAAAATGGAACAAACCTTTTGGAGAAAGTATTGATTCTGCATGTAATGGGTGAGTATTCCTTTTCTGTTTCTTTCAGCGGTGGTTGCCAGTCAGAGAGTCAATATTTCTGTGGCTTCTGCCTGGCTAGGGACTCTGATAAAGGCCTGCTCAGTGGAGAAACAAGTGGGAGGCAGAAGAGGTTTTGACTATGGACAGATGCCCTGGCTGAAATTTTGTGTCATGCGCTTCATGAGGAAACTGTTGTCTGATGACCTGATTACTGATGTGGTCTTCCCCCTCCTCATTCTTGCCCTGCTCTGTTGTTTTCCCCAAGTCCTTAGTAATCCAATCCCAGGCTTCTACACGAGGCAACTTGTTAACTGTAGGAGGAAAACAGCAATGAAAAATGAATGGACTTCCCTAAATATCCCCAGACTTTATGATTTCAACAGCATAGGGAAGTGCTGGTGTGATGTACTCTATGCCAATGAAGATTGTTCACTCGTCTTCATTTAATAATCTCAGAGTAAGTGTCTTGTCCAGGGTTGCAAACTTAGTATGAGAGGCAAATTTTTTTTTTTGGGGGGTGGCAATTGAAGTTAAGAGACTTATCCAGGATCACACAGTTAGTAAGCGTCTAAGGCCGGATTGAACTTAGGTCCTCCTGACTCCAGATCCTGTGTTCTATCCACTGCACCACCTAGCTCACCCAGAGGCAGGACTTGAATGGGGGTCTTTTCAACTCCAAATCCAAACCCTCTCTCTTATGACACATCTCCCCAGGATCAAATGATCTCAGTTAAAAGACCTTATAGGTCACAGTTGAATATTTTATCTGTGGTATGGATTCCTTCTCCTCACTAATATATGGTCATTCAACCACTTCTTACGCACTGCCAGGGATGGAAAACTTATTACTTCATGAAGCTTCCTGTTGTACTTTCTCTCTAGGACTTCTTGCCCACCTTTTCCCCTCTCACTCCCCTCTATCCCCTTAATAGTGCAAGGTAACCTCTTTCTTTACATTTCCACTCTCAAAGCACTTTTGCCATCCCCAGTAACCATACGAAGCAATCTTAATTTTGAGCTAAGTAAAAATCTTAATATAGATACATTCACATTCTAGTCAACTTGTCTACCTTTTATGCCTTGGGAAATACTTATTCCTAAATAGTCCTACTAGACTGTAAGTTTCAGGAGGAAAGACTCGTTTAACTAAACCTTTCATCTGCCACAGCACTTAGCCCAGTGTTCTCAAATTTAATTAAACAAACTTTTATTAGACACCTATTATGTACAAGGCATAGTGCTTGGTGGGGAGGCTACAAAGACAAAAACAAGTGATCCCTGCCCTTATGAAGCTTACACTCTATTGCAATGTAGTAGGCATTAAAATGTTTGTTGAATGGAATGGAATTAGAGTGACCTGTCACCAACAGGATTTTCACATCTGGCCATGGCCTGAGGGGCACATCCCAATCCCTGCCCTGGGGCCAGCTTTGCTTTGAGTCCATGTAGGCTACACAAGCTAGAATATATTTTCCATTCAGGGATATTCTCAAAGTAAATGGTATTTTTAATTTTTTTTTCTTTTCAAAGAGGCTGTTTCAAAGCCAGAAATGACGTGGAACTGCACTGAAAGAATTGTCACTTGTGAGGTTCGGAAGGGGACTGATGCTGAGCTTACTTTGTTTGAAAATGGGACACAGCCTTTGAAGATGGGGACCATGAAAAAAGAGGGAATGCAGCTCAAGTACACCTGGCCAAAGAAGCACCCACCACAAAAGGAGTTCAAATGCGTGGCAAAAAACCCAGTCAGTGAGGAGTGGACTGTGGGTCAAACCCCCTGTACAGGTGTGTAGTTGGCAGTGGGTATGAAATAGCTATGTTCATAATAATCATAGTAACTGACATTTATATAGTTTTAAATATGTATAAATATGTAAGTGTATTATATGTATATACACTTTTAAATGAGTAAAAACAATTTCTTTACTTTATTTGACTTGAGCCTCATAACAATCCTGTGAGATAAGTACTAGAGGTATTATTATCCCCATATTACAGATGAAGAAATAGAGACTTGGAGGTTAAGAGTAAATGTCAGAGGTAGGTTTTGAACCTAGGTCTTCCTGACTTTGAGGCCACCCTACTGCACTAAGATTTACCTCTCTTTCTATAGTCTTCTATCCACTATGGCAAGCTGACTTAGTATTTTTTTCCCTTTGGTCTAGACCTGTGTCTACTGATGAGGAAACTTTATCTATGTAGATCAACAGCTACTCTGTAACTTACAATCTTTTTTTAAAATTCAATTTTATTTTGTTTTCAGTTTTCTAGATTCTCCTCCCCCACTAATTGAGGAAGCAAGAAAACAAAATTGTAAATGTGCATAGTCAAGTAAAACAAATTCCTTCAATAACCATTTCCCCCCCAAAAAAATAAAGAAAAGAAAAGAAAAAAGAAAAATACACTTTGATCTTCATTGTGAATCCACCAGCTCTATAGCTGTATAGGATGTTTCATCATGAGTTCCTTGGAATTGTGGTTGATTCCACTGGGTGGATCAGAGTTCCTAAGTGGTTTGAAGTTGTCTCTATATTATTGTGTCTCTTGTAATCTTTTTAAATTTAATTTTTATCTTTCTTATTTTATTTTATCTCAATTACATGTAACAATTTTAATATTTTTTTAAAATTTTGAGTTCCAAATTTTCTCCCTTCCTCCCTCCCCTCCCCTCTTGAGAGACAAGCAATTTGATATAGATTCTCCAGGTGAAGTCAAGCAAAACAAATTTCCGTATTAGCCATATTGTGAAAGACAGATTTAAAAAAACCCAATAAAAATAAAGTAAACAAAGTATGCTTTGATCTGCATTCAGACTTCTTTCTCTGGAAGTAGGTAGGATTTGTCATCATAAGTCCTTTGGAATTGTCTTGGATAATTGTATTGCTGATAATAGTGATGTCATTTACAATTGATCATCATACAATATTGCTATTACTATGTATAATGTTCTCATGGTTGTGCTCATTTCATTTTGTACCAGTACTTATATGTCTTCCCAGGTTTTTCTGAAACCCTCCTGTTCATTTTTTATGGCACAATATTATTCCATCATAATCATATAGCACAACTTGTTCAACCATTTCCCAATTGAGGGACATCCTCTCAATTTCTAATTCCTTGCCACCACAAAAAGAGCTGCTATAAATATTTTTGTACATATAGGTCCTTTTCCTCTTTCTTTGATCTCTTTGGAACATAGACCTAGTAGTGATATTTCTGAGTCAAAAGGTATGCAGAGTTTTATAGCCCTTTGGGTGTAGTTCCAAATTGCTCTCCAGAATGCTTAGATCAGTTCACGACTCCACCAAGAGTGTATTAGTGTCCCAATTTTTTCATATCCCTTCTAATATTCGTTATTTCCGTTTTCTGTGATATTAACCAATCTGATAGGTGGTAGGTGTTTTGTCAGAGTTGTTTTAATTAACATTTCTCTAATCAGTAGTGATTTAGAGCTACAGATAGCTTTAATTTCTTCTTTTGAAAACTGCCTGTTTATATCCTTTGATTATTTGTCAATTGAGGGATGACTTGTATTCTTATAACTTTAACTCAGTTCTCTATATATTTGAGAAATGAGGCCTTTATCAGAGAAACTTGCTGTAAAATTTCCCCCCAGTTTCCTGCTTTCTTTTTAATCTCGGCTGCACTGGTTTTGTTTGCACAAAATCTTTTTTTTTTCCCCGAATCTTTTAATGTAATCTAAAATACCCGTTTTAGCTCCTGTAATGCTCTTTATCTCTTGTTTGGTCACAAATTCTTCCCGTATCCATATATCTGACGGGTAAAATGTTTCATGCTTCCCTAATCTGCTTATGATATCACCCCTTATGTCTAAATCATGTACCCATCTTGATCTTATCTTGGTATACTGCCTAAGGTGTTGGTCTATATCTAGTTTCTGTCAAACTGATTTCTAGTTTTCCCTGCAATTTTTGTAACATAGTGAGTTTTTGTCCCAAAAGTTTGGATCTTTGGCTTTATCAAGCACTAGATTACTATGGTCATGCACTACTGTGTATGGTATACCTAATTTGTTCCACTAATCCACCACTCTATTTTTTAGCCAGTCCCAGATTGTTTTAATGATTACTGTTTTGTAATTCAGCTTGAGATCTGGTTCTGCTAGGCCACCTTCCTTCACATTTTTTTAATTGATTTTCTTGATATTCTTGACCTTTTATTCTTCCAGATTATTTTTTCTAGTTCTATGAAATAATTTTTTTGCAGTTTGATTGGTATGGCACTGAATAAGTAAATTAATGTAGGTAGAATTGTCATTTTTATTATATTGGCTTGGCCTAATCATAAGCAATTAATATTCTTCTAATTGCTTAGATCTGACTTTATTTGTTTGAAAAGTGTTTTGCAATTGTGTTTATATAGTTCCTGGATTTGTCTTGGCAGGCAGACTCTCAAGTATTTTATATTGTCTGCAGTTATTTTAAGTGAAATTTCTCCTTTTATCTCTTCTTGCTGTCTTTGCTGGTAATACATAGAAATTTTGATGATTTAGATGGGTTTATTTTATATCCTGCAACTTTGCTGAAGTTAATTACTTCAACTAGTTTTTTGATTGATTCTCTAGGATTCTCCAAGTATACTAACATATCATCTGCAAAGAATGATAGTTTTGTTTCCTCATTGACTATCCTAATTCCTTCAATTTCTTTTTCTTCTCTTACTGTTAGAGCCAGTATTTCTAGTACAATATCGAATAACAGTGGTGAAAATGGGCATCCTTGCTTCACCCCTTCCCCATTACAGGTCTGGCTTGCTAATCGTTTTAGATACATCTTACTTTTCATTTTAAGGAAAACTCCATTTATTCCTGCTTTCTAATGTTTTTTGAAAGGAATGAGTGTTGTATTTTGTCAATGGCTTTTTTCTGTATCTATTGATATAATCATATATTTTTATTGTTTTTATTATTGATATGGTCAATTATGCTGATAGTTTCCCAAATGTTGAACATATTTGTGTGTTCAATGAAATGCATTACTGGCACAAATCCCACCTGGTCTTAATGTATGATCTTTGTCATATACTTTTGTAATTTCCTTGCTAGTATTTTATTTAAAATTTTTGCATCTATATTAATTAGGGAAACTGGTCTAAAGATTTCTTTCTCTGTTTCTGTTCTTCCTAGTTTAGGTATCAGCACCATAGTTGTGTGATAAAAGGAATTTGGGAGGACTCCTTCCTTGCCTATTTTCCTAAATAGTTTATATAGTATTGGAATTAGTTGTTCTTTAAATGTTTTATAGAATTCATTTGTGAATCCATCTGGTCCTAGGAATTTTTTCTTAGGTAGCTCATTTATGGCTTGCTCAATTTCTTTTTCTAAGATAGAGTTATTTAAGTATTCTATTTCCTTTTCTGTTAATCTGGGCAATTTATATTTTTGTAAATATTTATCCATTTAATTTAGATTGCTAGATTTATTGGTATCTAATTGGGCAAAATAGCTCCTAATGATTGCCTTAATTTCATCTTCCTTGGTCATGAATTCACCCTTTTCATTTTTTGATAGTGGTAATTTGTTTTCTTTCTTTTAAAAAAACTCAAATTAACCAAGGTTTTATTTACTTTATTGGTTTTTTTTCCATAAAATCAGCTCCTAATTTTGTTTATTAGTTCAATGATTTTCTTTCAATTTTATTAATCTCTGCTTTGATTTTCAGGATTTTCAATTTGGTGTTTCATTGTGGATTTTTAATTTGTTCATTGTCTACTTTTAAAATTTCATGCCAAATTCATTGATCTGCTTTTTATTTTATTTTATTCATGTAAGCATTTAGAGATATAAAATTTCCCCTAAGTACTGTTTTGGCTACATCCCATAAGTTTTGGTATGTTGTCTCATTGTTGACATTCACTTTAATGAAACTGTTGATTGTTTCTATGATTTGTTCTTTCACCCATTCATTCTTTATTATTAGATTATTTAGTTTCCAAATAATTTTAATCTATGTTTCCATGGCCCTTTATTGAATGTAATTTTTATTGCATTATTGTCTGAAAAGGGTGCGTTTAATATTTCTGCTTTTCTACATTTGGTCATGAGGTTTTTATGCTCTAATACATAGTCAATTTTTGTGAAGGTGCTATGTACCACAGGGAAAAAAGTATACCCCTTTCTATCCCCAATTAAGTTTTTTTCCAGAGGTATGTCATATCTAAATTTTCTAAAATTCTATTCATCTCCTTGGCTTCTTTTTTGTTTATTTTATGGTTAGATTTATCTAGTTCTGAGAGAGGGAAGTTGAGGTTCCCAATTAGTATGGTTTTGCTTCTATTTCCTCTTGTAACTCATTTAACTTTTCCTTTAAGAATTTGGATACTCTGCCATTTCATGCATATCTGTTTAGTATTGATATTATCTCTTTGGCTATGGTACATTTTAGCAAAATGTTGTTTCTCTTTATATCTTTTTAAATTAGTTCTATTTTTGCTTTTGCTTTGTCTGAGATCATGGTTGCTACTTCTATTTTTTTTAAACTTCATCTGAAGCATAATAGATTCTGCTCCAGTCTTTTATTTTCACTCTGTCTGTATCTCTGTTTCACATGTGTTTCTTGTAAAAACATATTGTTGGATTCTGGTTTTTAATCCTTTCCCCTGTCTATTTCCATTTTATGCATAAGTTCATCCCATTCACATTCACAGTTATGATTACTGTGGATTTCCATTCATTCTATTTTTTCCCTGTTTATCCTTTTCTTTGTCTGTCTTTGTCTCTCTGTCTCTCTTTCTCTTTCTCTCTCTCCTTCCTCCCCCCATTCTTC